GGGGGGGGGACCACAATACAGTATGCAGATGATGCATTAAAGAATCGCATACCTGAAACCTCTATCATTTTATTAACCCATGTCACCCCAATAAGTTCAATAAAACAAAACAAAATTGTCTCCAATCTAAACCTGACCATTTCAAACAGATGACCTTGCTTATTAATGAGGGGAGGAAAGAGGTGCCACCAGATAGGAAATCCAACTTCCTGCCACCAAACTACAGAGTGCCAACCTCATATCCATTCTGTGGGAAAAGTATCCCTCCTGTGTAGGAAGCTAATCTCCCCTGTGCTCACCACACCAGGATCCTGTTTTACATAATCAGGAACCTGCATCACCAATTAATCATGGCCTTTCACAGTCTCAACCTCTCCCATTCTGCCAGCTTCTTCCTATGGGTACTTCCGCACTTTCCACCTCTCCCAAGGCCCTGTCTCCTCCCCCTCACAACTAAACTACTTAAAGGCATTTTCCTGTTCCTATTTCTTCATTTCCCACGCACTCTTAGAAGTAAATGTTCACATTTTTTTAGTTGTCAAATATTTCAAATAAACAAAAATATGACATTTTTTGTTTCCACACCATCTGTAAGTTAATAAGTAACTTTCTCTAGCATGTTTTAATGTTTAGTATTTTGTATCATTTAGCTTTTTCAGCATAACACACCACCCCAAAACTCAGTGCTTAAAACAACTACCATTTATTTAGCTTTAGTTAGTTGACAATTCTCTAAGTCAGCAATTTGGGCTGGGATCAGCAGGCCAGTTCTTCTGGTTTCAGCTGGGCTCATACATGTTCATGGCCAGCTGTCAGTCAGCTAAGTGGCTCTCTTCTGATCGTTGGCTGGCTGTTGGTTGGAACAATGAGGGCGACTAGGGAAAGGGTATCTCATCCTCTGGCAGGGGTTTCTGAGAGTGGCATGAGAGTAAGCCCTACTGCACACCTACTTTTCAAGCTTCTGCTTGTGTCATTTTTATAAACATCCCTTTGGCCAAAGCAGGTCACATGACCAACCCTGATTCAAGAGATGGAGAAACAGGCCCTACTCTTGATGGAAAGACAGGAATTTGTGGCCATTTTTCCGATCTACTAGAGCATTTATGCATGTGTCACCGGTCCAAAGGTTCATGTGCCTGACACTTTAAAAAGCCAGTATTCAAAATGTCTGTTTGGAGTAAGGGAAGGTTAATTGATGGAGAAGACACCCAATTGAGAATATGGGGTCCTTACAGGTTCCTCAAATCCATCTTCCCCAAGCCTAAAGTTCAGGCTCCTTTTAAATCAAAGGGAAAAAATGGGAGGGGCAAGAGGTGATTGATGATCCAGATCCCAGACATCTGGGCACCCACAGGGATCTGAGGAAGAGCGGAGAATGTCTAAATCCCTTTGTTCCCCAGATGATCTGAGTCCAGTCTTGAGGCTCCTGCAAATCTTCAATAAACAAACATTATTTCATACATATCTCCCTACCTCTTTGGAAGAGGTACCTTATGGCATGGGGCTATTCTTCCAAAAACTCTAGGCTCAAGCAGAATTCCTCTAATGATTAGTATATATATAGCAGGAGCTATTTGCCGGAAGGCCATGGGAACAATTCAGGCTAAAATTAAGACAGAATCAGAGACTGAGCATTTCATTGTTACATGTGTGTGTATTTAATCATCCTAAATAAATGGTTTCATAAAATGTGCATTCTTTTGCAACCTGTTGATTCATTTAAATCACTGTATATACCATAGTTAATCCATTCTTATTGATGGACATCCAAGTGTTATGTAATTTTAATTTTTCGCTACAGAAAATAAATGCTAAATTGAATATCTGTGTGCATCTTTTCATGTGCACATATGCAATATATTTTTCAGGATATTGCTGTATCAATCTTTACTCCTACAAGCGGTCTACAAGAGTTCCCATTGGCTCCACATCCTTTCTCACACTTGCTATTATCAAACTTAAATTGTTGCCAGTCTCATGGATGAGAATACCTCAGTGATGTTTTCATTTTCCTGAATATGACTGGGATTGAGCATCTTTTTATTAGTTTGTAGGCCATTTGGATTTCCTTTTCTATGAACTGCCTGCTCCTATTCTTGGCCAATTTTCTATTGGGTTGTTTGTCTTTTTCTTATGATTTCCTTATATATTTTGAACTGATTACATATATTTGCAAATATCTTGTCCTTGGGTATGCTCTGTCTTTTCATCTGTTTTTTTAAAGAGAATTGTTGAAGAGACTCTTTTGTATATTTTAAGGTTACAAATATACTATCTTGTGTTGTCTTCTAAAAGTTTTAAGTTTTGTCTTTCTCATTAAGGCATTTAATCTACCTGGAGTTGACTCTCATGTAGGGTACCAGCACCATTTATTGAAGAGTTACCACCTTCCCCACTGATGTGCTGTGTTGCATGTATGAATCTACATGTATGAATCTGCTCTAGGCTGGTCATTCCACTCTCCTGGATTACCCAACTTTGTTAGCACCAAACTACCTTGCAGAATTACTATCACCTTTTAATAAATCTTGGACCATCTGGTAACAACAGTTATCCCACCTTCTTATTTTTCTGCAAAACGGTCTTGATTATATTTTATTTATTGATTGATTATTCTTAGCTCTCTGCTCTTCTGTATGAATTCTGGAATCAGCATGTTAAATTATAAACAAAACACTTTTAGGATTTTGATCTTAATTGTACTGAATCTAGAGAATACTTCGAGGAGAACCTTGATCTTGGACTCCTACCTTCCAGAACTGTGAGAAAATATATGTTGCACGGCAGCCCAAACAGACTAATATACCTCCGTAAACTGAGTTAGAGTCTCCTGCACTTTGCAAGTCTCTTTGTAATATACTTGAAACTATTTGTTTAGTGCCTGTTTTCCCCACTGGACAGTAGATACGGTGAAGGAAGGTAATTCTTGTTTATTGCTACTGTACTCTCCAGTGTTTAGCCATATTTAATACATAGCAAGAACCCAAGAAATGAATGTATAGAATCCATACACATGTAGCTAAGAAAGTTGAATTATAAATAAAATAAAATTAGAAATTCAGTTCCTTAGTCACACTAGCCACATTTCAGACACTCACCTGCCACACGTGGCTACTGGTTACCATAGTGGACAGTGCAGGTTATACCAAAGTTCCGTCCCCACAGAAAGATGTACTGGGCAGTACATGAAGGAACTTTTGAGTATGAATGAGAGTTAGCCAGGTAGAGAAAGATGAGGAGGCAGAGGGAATGATAAAGACATCATGCGGCGTATGAACCATGAGGATACGGTTAGAGAACTAAAGGCATTTTGCTGCTGCACAAGTGTGAGTCAGGGAGAGGCAGAGGTAAGGAGAGGTCATGGGAGGACTTAAGTCCTGATGAGAGCTTGAAATTTATTGTGACTGTGGAGAGAATCCAAGCAGAGAAGTGTCTGGGTCAGATTTGCATTTTAGATACATTACTCTGTGGGGAGTGTGAGCCTGGAGGCAGGAAAAACAATCAGAGGGTTGTTGAAATAGTCTGAGTAAAAGAACCAGAGCAGAGGGAGGGTTGGGGAGGCAGGAGCTGCAGAAGCAGCCCAATTTGACGGTTGACTGACAGTAGGGCAGAGAGAAGGGAGGAATCCAATGTGCTTGTAAATTTCCAGACGGTGGAGCCACCTACTGAAACCAGAACGAAGGTGACGGTAGGAGAAACGGGTTTTATTTGAGGAAAGGACAGAGGGGGTAGAGATAACTCAATTTTGGAAGCATTAAGTTTGCAGTGTTTTGGGGGATACAGTGGGTATGGCAGTTGGCTCAGAAACAAGGGCTGGGTGGCAGTTGGGATGTGAGGGTCGTCAGCAAACGGGTGGTAGTTAAAACCACATGCTTCTAGATCACCTGAAGAGAAAGATGAACCCTGGGTCAAGGCCAGAAGTCTACAGCACATTTAGGGATGGGCAGAGGAGAGGCCCATGATGAACACAAAGAACACATTATGGATGTATCATTTATCACGTTACCCAAATTATTTTAAAAACTATTTTATTCTTTGGACCCACAGAACCTGCCAGAGGCAGCCATTTCAACACACTTCTATTGGATTTGTAGGGTTTGTTTTTCTGCTTAGTTCCATCCTCAAACAAGCTCCTTGAAGTCTGAATAGGAACTGACCACTTTGGAATCTCTTGAACGTGGCCTGTGGGATCAGGTATGCCCTTTGAGACCCCGCTGTCTTAGCTGGGGAAAGGGGTCTTCCTGCCTAGAGACTTCTGACCTGATTCTCCGTGGAAGCGGGCAAAACACGGCAAAGGCAAAATACGGCTGAATTCCACCAGAACGTTAACAGCTTCTCGAGCACCAATTAACAGCCAGAAAATACGACACCCCCAGGCTCTAATATTACTTGTTTCTCAATGCCCCTTCTGTTTAATTTCTATTACATTTTTTCTTAAGAATCATGAATCTGTCAGGCGACCCAGGAAATAACTTAATCATTTCTTTTTAGTTATTCCGCCTCTCTAAAGTAGAATTTAATCTGTTTATCACTCACTGGTACTTACTGATTTCATCCACATTCTTAAGAAATTTCTGCAAGTCTTTCTCCTGATCGCCAGCCATTGTGAACCAGAATCCCTGAGGGAGGCAGCATAAATGATGAAAATTAATAATAACGAAACACTAGGCAGGATTTGTCAGGTTTAGTATTCTTCTAAGACTAAGAGCCAAGTGATTATTTTAAACGCAGATCTGTGTTTATAAACGCCATGAATGATAACAGCAGGGTGATTTATTTCACTCAACTGCTGTTAAGGCCAAGGGGCACTATTTGTGGTGATACCTCCAGAGACCTGCCAGGCCCCCTGCACTGGGGAAACCACTCTGCAAAATGTTCCTCCAAAGCCCACATCAGCCACTGTGATTCAGGAACCTGGAGGAAGGAGAGCAGGAGGAGAGCAGTGGACAAGCCTCCAGAGACGGAGGCAGATGCTAATACTTGACTTTGATCATGACAGGCTGGCTCAGCCAGAAGCTTGGGCCTGGTGTAACAGGTAACCAGGCATGGGAGACAATTGCATCTAAATGTCCAAAACTGTTTAAATCTAATCTGGCTTGTTTCTAGGAGTGAACAGAAACCACAAATTGGCTGAAGGGGTTAGAAGGTGATGGCCCCGTGCACCGGGGTGTCTTCCCTTCTCCGGGTCCTTTAGATTACCTACCTCCCCGTTGTTTCTGAGTGAAAAGGTACGTGGTGTACCCAGTGGTTCCCAAAGGCTCATCCACGGCCCATAAAAATCATTCAAAAACTCGTTAAATACACAGAATCCTCAGCTTTAGCGCCACAGATGCTTGGTCAGTAAACCTGAGATAATACCCAGGAAATGTCTCGTTTTAAAAACTCTCTAGGTGATCTGATTTACAACTAGGTTTAGTAGTCGCATAATGCACCTGTAACAGAATTTGAAACCTGTCACAAACTGTTACTCGATCTCTGAGGCTTCACCAATGACAAGCTGTGTGACCTCAGCTAAGGCCACGGCCTCTCTGAGCCTCAGGGTCCTCGCTCATTCTACGCAAATGGTAACACGGGAGGCCCGCCGCGGGGACTAACTAAAGCCCCAGGCGCGCCAGTGACAAAAGGGGAGGTAAAGCCTTAGCTGTAGGACGGGGCTGCGGACGCGGGGCTTACACAGAAGAGCTGGGGCTCTTTCCAGCTCTAACACGTTGGGCCCAGGAACCAGGCCCGGCGCGGCGAGTCCACTCGCCCGAGGCTCCCGGGGGCAGGAGGGGCTCGGAGCTCGCGCGGGAGGACGCCAAG